TTAAGATCCTTTTTTTTTATTGGTCACATGAAATATTCTAATTTTGTGGAATACTGGATTTGGGTTTTTTTTTTGTCTTTAATCCATAATCATCAAAATTGAAACAAATAAAGGCTTGAAATATTTCACTTTGTGTGTAGTGAACTAATATAACATATAAGTTTCACTTTTTGAAACAAATTATTGAAATAAATGGACTTTTCCTCGATATTCTAATTTTTTGGCACATACCTGTACTCACACAGTTAATCTCACAATAGGGGAAAGAAACCTGTGTTTCAGCCATAAGGATCTCTGAGCAACTACATAAAAATACCTAAAGCATGATAATAAGGATCTGTCACTGTTGTATGATGTGGAGGCCACATGATTAATGATCTAAGCAATAAAATGATGATCCGTGATTATTTTAATTGTCAGTTATCTCTAAGCAAATGTACTGTCATTTCAAACTATCAATCATGGAATGTGTATTATGTTGTTACAGATGTAGGTCTGCTCTGAAAACATATAAAATATGAATAATGCAATGAGAATAATTCCAATTGGTGTCTCTCTCAGGCCACCAGTATGATGCGTAAAGATGTCAACAAGCCGAAGGGGAAGACGTCGGCATACGCCTTTTTTGTCCAGACGTGTCGAGAGGAGCACCGGAAGAAAAACCCAGAACAATCTGTCAACTTTGCCGAGTTCTCCAAGAAGTGCTCTGAGAGATGGAAGGTATGAGAGAGAGAGAGACGGGTAGTCAGGTAGGAAAGAGTTGATAGATGGAGAGAAACTGTAAATACAATGTTACCGAGCAAAATGTGCCAATGTGACAAGAAAACGTAGCAGTGCTGACTTTATAGAACCCCTGTGTAAGTCACCAGCTAACAGCTAATGTTGCTAACAATGCAATAACCACACTGAGCGTTGTGAGATTCCTGATCAGTCTGGGTTTGAACGAGGCTCAAACATACCTGGTTTTCCTTCCTGCTGTCATATACTGATACAGAGATTTCACTGTCTGCATACCTAGCCTAAAAATGTCTTGAGGCAGAATGAAGTCACCTTTAAACCAACCTGTGTGTTAGCCTCTCTCAACACCTGACTTGCTGTCTGTGGCTCTCAGCTCCAAACCCACAAAATGCTCATAAATACATAGTAGTTTAATTTTAAAAAGCCTCAGTGATCTAAACCAGCTGCTCACTGTAGTTTCAAACGGACAGGGGGTGATGTTGGGGACTAGTTTCAGCAGTGGGACTGATAATATTCAATAACTTGGTCTGGACCTGACATGGGTTTTATTGACAAGATGAACAGTAAAAACAGAACAGACTGCACTGAGGTCTGTCCTGATGTTGACCCCCTTGTTAAAGAACTGGTCCTGTTGTTGACTGAAGTCTGTGGTTGGCTGGAGGCTTCACTTAGTGGTTCACTACACTAAAATGGTGTTTCAGGTGTTTTGTCCACCCTGATTCAGTGAACAGATCCTGTTGGACAGATTTAATATTGAACCAGTCACCACGACTGAGTGCAGCTGCACTATTGCATCTCATTTGTTATTACACATTCATTCATGGTTCTCCAGTGAAGTTTGAATCAGTCGACTCTGGTCACATGCACAGTGAAACGTTTACTGATGTGTAACGTTACACATGGTGGTCACTGTGTAAAACCGTGCTGACCATGTGAACATTTTAGTTGTGTCAGTAGAGCCACTTATCACTGTTCCGGTTCAGTATGTTTCAGGTCAGTAGGTGTTCACTAATTTTTACTGATCCTGACAAAGTCGACAAACCAGAGCTAAAGGGATCAGTTACCTACTGGGCTCACAGTATGTTGATGATCAGTTTGCTGCCAGAATAACACAATGTTATAGTGACCACCTCTGTTTTCCACCACAGTGGACTGTTGGTCAGACCCCGTGTTCAGAACATTAAAAGTGACAAAGTCAGACTCATGCAGTCTGTTACTTAAGGATTGCTGTATATACCCTGATGCAGTCTATTCAAACAATGAAAACATCTGCAGAGGTTGGTCTCGAAGTCCAGCTCAGTACTTCACTGTGTGGAACTGTTTTTCTTTGTGCTGAGTTTAAATCAGAGCCTGTGATCTGTTCAGGCTGCTGCTCAGTTTGCCGTGACTGTTCAGGCTCACTTTGTGCAGGGTGATGGTCACATGACCGACGGCAGCACTGATCCATAACGCACTGCTCCTAAAGTTCACCACATTTCAAAGTAGAGGTGCTTTTGTTGACCCACTCAGAATAAACCACTCGTCCAACCACTGTTATATAGTGTCAGTTTGTGTCAGATATAATGCACTTTATTAACTAATACACCGTCACAGTGACAGTTTTTGTTTGTGTTGTGGTTCCAGGCTCTGTCTCCCAGTGACAAGAAGTGTTTTGAGGACATGGCCAAGGCCGACAAGGTCCGCTACAACAGGGAGATGAGAGACTACATCCCACCCAAGGGCTTCGGAAAGAGGGGCCGCAAGAGGAAAGACCCCAACGCACCCAAAAGACCCCCGTAAGTCTGTAGACACACTAGACCTGCTGGTCCTGGTGAACCTGGCTGCTGCAGTTTGAACAGCCAGCAGAGGGCAGCACTTGGCCAACCAGGTTACCTGCCGTCTCAGGTCCTGTTTGACTTTAAACCTCTGTGGAGGTCAGATGTGATCGGACACTGGTGAAAAGGTTCACGCTTTGGTTCAGATGTGCTGCTGTGTCAGACAGAAAACCTTAAATGAATCCACTTCTTGTTGTTATACAATGCCTGGGATTAAATAAAACTGACATAAATTCATGCATTGACTCTTTTCAGAATGTTTTCATGTTGTGATAGTGAACGAGAAACATATTTTACCCTGTGAGGTATTAAACAAATTTGTAAGCCTCACATTTTAACCCTGACATAAAATCAACTGTGTTCAGTCTGAATGTGGTTATGTTAATTTTTAGTCAGTTTTCCAGTGTGTTGCCACAGAAACCGGTTTAAAACTAGTGTGTAGTCTGGATGTGGAACCAGGTATAAGTGACAGTGAGCCACATGTAAAAACCTGCTGACGTTTACTGTTTGTTTTTGCCCTGCAGTTTAAACCGGTGTTATCCTACTGGTTCACACAAACAGAACTGTGAGACTCTGCAGGTCCAGTTTGTCTCAGATTAGTCAGGATCCAGATGGATGTCGTTAATAACAAAATGGCACAGTAACATTCAGTGTTCATCTGATGTGTTTTGGTGTGAACGTATCAGAGCCGACTGGTTAAAACTGAACTGCAGAGACATGAACCTGACTGACTGTGTCGTCCTGCAGGTCTGCATTCTTTGTGTTCTGCAGCGAGTACCGTCCCAGCGTGAAGCAGCAGTATCCTGGTCTGTCTATAGGAGACTGTGCCAAGAAACTGGGAGAGATGTGGAGCAAACTGTCCCAGTCGGAGAAACAGCCGTACGAGGAGAAGGCCCAGAAGCTGCGAGAGAAATACGACCGGGTGAGGACGGGGAAACATTCAGGAGACGTGTAGCATCAGTCAGAGCAATTGTTGGGTCAGTCCAGTTTAACGTAGGTGATTTAACTGGAGTGGTGTCGACTCTAAACTGTTTGACACCAGGACAACAGTGACTTGGTGTGTACATGCACACAGGTGAGCAGAAACTAGATGTGTCTGGTTTTTACCCCTAATGAGCTGGTAGTGATCGGTGCAGAAAAACACAGCCCTGACAAAAACCCAGTGTGGCTGACAGGTGGCTTGCTATCAGAGTGGTCCAGGCTGGGGCCAGACTGGTGCAGCTGTCTCTGACTCCTGGGGACCATCTGCAGAGGACACCGAACATTAACCTGCTTATTTCTGTCTGCTAGGACATGGTGGCGTACCGCGGTGGTGGCACATACGCCAGGAACCCCGGCTCTTCAGCTCAGGGAGGAGAGGAGGAGGAGGATGATGAAGGGGAGGACGAAGACGAGGATGAGGAGGATGACGAGTAGAGACGTAGAGTTGCAGCTGGATAAGAGAGAGACTGTGTGAGAGAGAGAGAGACAAGTAGGTGTGTGTGTGTGTGTGTGTTTCAGAGACGGTGGAGGTGAGTGTCTGACAGCTGATTGGACAGGAGCAGGCAGGGGGTGGAGCTTAGCAAGCAGATGAGTTGAGGTTTGAAACAGACTGAAGAACAAAGTAAAGGTTCCACCTGTGAGTGTCCTGAGATGTCCTGCTGCAGCCGGTTTAAGAGACAGAAGAAGAAGGACAGGGCGACTCAGCCTCCCCGAGAACACGCAGTGAAAGCAAGATGTGAGCAGCGTGTCCTCTTTGAAGTCATCAGAACAGTTGTCTGTCAGCAGGACAGTGGCTGGACAGTGTCTTTACCAGGTCAGACAACAAGTGTAGGGATAAATTCTAGTTTTCATGTAAGTTCATTGAGAAGAAAAGGCATTTTTATGTAGCCTATGGATTAGATCCCCCCCAGTTTGTTATAGACGGTGAAGGTGAAACTCAAGCAGCCTGATCAGTCGTAACAGATACCAGTAGAAACAAAACAGGATTTGTGTGATTTAAACAGCTGAGTGTGGAGATGACACTTTACTAAACAGTGAAAATAGATAAATTGTAAAAAAAAAATGTTATGGTTCTACGGGAGATGCGCACGTCTTTCGGATTCAGTGTTGACTGACATGTTTGATATCGTGGATTTCTATCTGCAGTGTGTAGAAACTCATTCAGTGTGTTTTCTCAGTTGCATCAGGGCGTCTGGCTGCCAGCCAGTCAGGAGCAGTTGTTTGTCTCAGTGGTAACAGTGATGTTAGGTTGGGTATTAACTAGAGATGCACCGATCAGTTGCCAGAGATCACAAATGGCCAGTGACTGGCCAGTAAATCTGAGATTTCCGATTCTGTGTTGCTCCGATTTAGAGACACGACAGTTCAAATCATACACCTGGTGGCACCTGCACCTGCCAAGCTCTGAATCGGACCCGACCCAATACCCATAGTTATTTCTAAATGAAATCTGAACCCAACCCAAACTGACCCGCTAACATAAGACCAACACCTATAATTAAAATAGACTTTAAAGTAAGTGACTGTGTGGCTTAAAGTGTTTGAGAGTTGTGTTCTGTGTCGATGGATGCAGCACCGGTGCTCTGCAGCTGTTCCCTCAGTGAGGACCTGTCCAGCTTGCAGCTGTCAAACATCAACACTTTCTGGCACTGTTTACAAGCAGCAGAGCCACTGACGACATTCTCGCTGTCTGTAACCACACCAAACTTCACCTATACGTCCAAGCTGGCTTTTGATGGTGGCTGTCCATCGTTTTGTATTCACCACCAGCTGTTTTCACTTTTAGATCACCCAGTTTGACACACTGATGTCTGAGTGATGTCCTATCTTAGCCAGATGGAGTAGAGGGGTCAAAGGTCGTGCCACAGAACTTCACAATAAATGTATCGGTTGTTTGGGCTTAATATTATCCTGGATTAGATGTTTAAAAGAAGCTGTGCCTTTAATTGCTTTTAATTTAAATAGTACGTTTCACTCGCTACCTGCCTGCGTTCAGTTTAATTATTTAGTTATTATCCGTACCTGATAATTAATAAATCGTTTGTTTGTTTGTTTTAAAGCCGTTACACATTTACTCATTCCTGTCATTTTTTTGTGGGCACCTGACTCTGGTGTATCAGCCCGTGGTAAAACACAGCAAATACAAACTGCACACGCTTCAAAAAGAACTGTGTGCTCGGTAGTAACAGACGTTCTTCTGTTTACCTGTTGCACATGTTATAAAGTAAATACTGCACTTCATTTTTAATTGGTTTGTTAAAAAGATGCGCGAAGGGCAGATGAGAAATTTCAAACTTTAATACTATGTTTTTATTGCAATTTGATTTTGAATTAAAAGTTAAAATGTCTGTGTCTTAAGTTTTTAGAAAGAAAATCTGATCAGCCAAGAAAGTTGAATCTCTAAGGTTGACTTTAGTTTGAGTCAGTGTTGAGAACAGGAACGAGGTTGGGCTAGAAACTGATCAGAGTGATTGATCTGACACAATCACTAGAGAGCTTGACATTTTACTTCATGTTGAGATTCAGAGTTAAACACCTGGTGAGGCTGTATTAGTCGTGTAGTGTTGAGTTGAGTTTCCTTCAGGCAGCGGCTTCTGTTTTCTGTGAATAAATCCAGCAGTAGAAGCTTCATGTCTGAGACCAGTCATATAGTTTATCAACACAAACTGGTTAAACAGTCTGAGCTGTCACTACACAAACAGCTACTGCATAACGTTACACCCTCCAGGTCCGATGGAGTTACGCCTCATACCCAGTTCACCTAATAGTTCAGACTAGTTTAATCTTACGCCTCATACCCAGTTCACCTAATACTAGTTCAGACTAGTTTAATTAAAGGGTTTAACTGTTTACAGTAGGAAATCTAACATCTGTCAGGTCACATGACTTAGTGTAAGGTTCAGGTCGAAGGTGAATGGGTAACTAGTCGTGTCCTGCCGACCCAGAGGTCCTGTGACTTTCTGCCTTCATAATGACCAGAGGTCTGATTTTCTCTGAGTTGGCTGCTGTGTGTGTCTGTTGCATCCACTGTGATGTTTGGAGCTGCAGTGTTTATCAATTGATTAGTTGATCAACAGAAAATCAATCTGATTATTTGTCAAAGTTTCTGAATGTGAAGACGTGATGCTTTTCTTGGTTGTCGCAGTAAACTGGTGAACTGACACTACCTGTGTTGTTGCTACACAAAATGATTCATTGATTAATCAGGAGATTGATGAGTTGGTTGAAACTTGATCTGACAAATTTAGGTCCAGTGATGAGTTCAGTGTTAAACTGGACAGGTATAAGCAGAGTCAGTGTTGAGTGGACACCTGGACAGGTGAACGGAGGCCCTATGAGTGCAGCTGCTGGCCGTGTGCAAACTGTCTGAAGCCAACCAATCGGGTTTAATTTCTATGGCAGCGTTTGTAGCGACCAGCTGTGTCAATGTGTAGTTGGTGTGGTGAAACAGACAGGGACCATTCTGAGCACTGGTGTTGGCTTTAGAGTTCCAGTGTAGCCAGTAGATCTGCTGGCTGGTCACATGACCGGAGGTTATTGGTTAAAAATGGCTTTGACACTCACCTGACAGGTCGCTCTGAAACACACACAGGACCACCCAGTGTGTGTGTATGTGTGTGAGAGAGATGAGTACAATGTATGTGTTGGAAGTCAGAGGTCAAATTGACACCAGAGGATAGAGTAACCCCCTGTTACCATGGTTACCTTTGCCCCCACCACCATCACCTGTGTGTTTCCATGGCAGCCTTTGCCCTTCGTCCTGCTCTTCTTCATCATTATGTTGTTTATTTTCTTACTGGATTTTTTCTGGTGCTTGTTCACTGTCAGGGTAGAAACTTCAACTTTTATAATAAAACCAATTGAGAGAAAAACAGAGTCTGCTTTGTTCTTCTGACTTCAGGTCCCCGTGTCTCCTGAACCCCGGGTCCTCACCACACGTCTGTTCAGGTTCAGGACTGAGCTGGTAATGCGCTGTTTTATTTCACCACAGTGTTTCAGTGCTGGCCCCTGATCAGGGTTGTGTACAAGCAGAGCCTGTATATCCTCTGTCTTCATGTATGAGGGTTTCCCCGAGAAATTTTTTATTTCCGTCAGGTGTCAGGGAAGAATTCATTTAATTGGACAAATCTGAAATTTACCGGTCACACTTATCCCCAAGTAATTTGGATTAGGGGGTTAAATTCTGACAAAACCGAAGTCATTGTGCTTGTGCCTGAAAACCTTAGAAATCTGCTGCATAATTGTTACAGGTATCAGAATATAACACCTGTAGGCAGATGTGTATATATCCTGAAATACAGGAAAGGATTAATTAGGGAGACATGGCTTCACATCGCTGAGTTCTCCGCCATTATTTTTATTTAAACACAAATTATTTCAACAGTCTGTCCACTGGGTACTGTATCTGTTGTTAATTTTCCACTACATACGTACTGTACATTCAATGTATTCTTATACATAGTAGACTGTGCTCATGAAATATACATAGCAGATTGTGCTCATGAAACACGATATAACACACAAAACATCATTGTTGAAATCCCGTCTTACATACCTTTGCTTTTACTTTAAACACATCCTGGGTTTGAAGTGTACTATCACTAATGAATAAGCACTTTTGTATCATTTTTAACTTGAGAGCAGTACCAGATAAACAAATCATGAAACATAATTAACAGTTAACACATTTCCTTTTTAACATGAACATGGAGCCAGGGTCAAATTACAAACAAACTCTACCAGGTGAGGTGAGTGACCTGAACTGAGAGTATAACCCAGCTAATATTAGCATGCTTGCTAGCGAAATGAGCCGGTATGTAGCAGTCACCATAAGTACTCAAAAAAACTACTGCAACCCGTAAAATAAACATCCAATGCTCGGTTTCCTTTTTGGCCTGATAACTTCATTTACTGTAGTTCACCCATATTACTAAACTGAAATACAGGAAAGGAATAATTAGGCGGGGAGACGTGACTTCACATCGCTGAGTTCTCCCCCATTATGAGAAAAACCCAGAGAAGCACGCTAGATGGCTGCAGTCCATCGGGTAAACCAGTCTCACACTGCCACCTACTGGTGAAAAAAAAGTATTGTCCTATCCATAACACTGGGTTATGTCATGTTTTGAGAAAACAAGATGTTTACATGAAAAAATGCACATTTACCCTTAATCCCATTATATACATTCAAAATAAAGTGATCGCACATTAGTTGGACATCATAATCATATAGTTACTTTAGATGACA